GATTGGTTTTAAATCTAGAGACTTTTCATGTTAGGTTGAAAATCCTTTGAAATGTAGTGAAATTAATTACCTTGTGAGCATATTACTAATTAGATGCAGAATTAGTATTTGTGGCCTCTTGAAATGGTAATTGGACTTAGCATGATATAGAATATCATTGACTTGTATAACTTGTTTATATATATCTTGTGTAGGTATATAACTTGTTAGAATATTACAATTGATTTCCTTGAAAGCTTGATACTAAATTGTAGCCTATTTAGTACTTGTGGCTTAGAATGGTAATGTGGTTCAATTGTTATAAAATATTCTTACTTTATGTATAAATTGAATATTGAGGATATGACATGTCGTATGTTATTTAGATTTCAATTCTAGGACATGGCTTGTGTGAAATTAACCTTACTTGTGCACGAATGTGGTAACTTGCATTTGATTTTATATAAGTTTTGAACTTATTGATTTTGGAAAGCTTGTGAGGATATAAATTATATGATGGCTAGGATTTGGCTCTAGTACGGAGACAAGAGTCTTCTAAGTCATAAGTGCGCACTAGGTGGTACCTTGTGGGTCGTAATTACCAGAAAATACTTGCTTGGTCTAGCGACCGCATGTCCTAGTATTTCCACTATTTGTTGTTTTTGTATTTAATTCCAAGTTGTTAATCATAGATTACTTGTAGCTTGAGAATTGATGCTTGTTTAGGGTAATTGAATACTATTTAGTATACTTGAACTTGTATACTTGTTCCGTGAGTTTAAATTGCATGTAGTATACTTGTGACGTGTATACTTGTCTCATGCGCAATCCTTTTCGCTTAGTATACTTGTGGTTGTGTACTTGATTCATGAGATTTCCATATGAACGTATACTTGTGTAGATATGCTTAGACATTGCATGGCTTGTCTTAATATAGTTTAGTATACTTGGAGGTGTATGCTTATATGTCGCATAACATGTTTCAACATTGTTTAGTATACTTGAGCATATATATACTTGTATGCCGTTGTTCGCTTTGAATTGCATGAGTAGCTTAGGATGCTCCTTGAGTCTCACTTGATATAGACGTTAGGTGGCATGAGCCCCTTTAACATGTTTCACCTTAAGGTGATATAATCGTAAAATGCTAGGTCGATGCATGTTCATTTCCTACGAGTAGCTTTATGTTACTCACCCACGTAGTGGGGACATTTTTCAGGTACAGAAATCAAGGTTCGAGATTCTCATTATACTTGGATGATTCTAGACTTGAAGGTTTTTAACTCTTGTAAAGGTTGGCTTGGAATGTCACTTATAGTCTTTTATGTCAAAACGTGTATATTTGATTCTATATATGTAATGTGTACATGAGTACACTCTTTACAATGTATTTGACATGTATGAGATGGGGCCAGAGGCCAATAATATGTATTTCATATACTATGTAATTTTTGACTTCATGGAATATTATGAAAATATTGAAAATTATTGAGTTTTTTGTTTCACCATGTTTGCATTGGGTGTGGGAATTCCATTTTGATTCTTCCATAGGATCTCATTAGTCATGTATGAAGTATGGCCAAGGGCTAAACGGTCATTTGAAGTCATTTGTTGATTTTAGTTTTCAAAGTTTCCATTTTAGGTTCATATTTGCCTTGTTGGCCGTTGGGGGGGTCCGATTTTGACTCGGCCATTTCCGGGAGCCATGGACCATTCCCGTACGCTCAAAATCACATATTACGTGTGCGTGCATTTTCGTTTCAGCTTAGAAGTGCATTTGGGGTCAAATGTATGCTTGGTGCAAAGTTGCATTTTCACCGTTTTGAGCCTAAACTGATTTAAGGGCAATTTGGGGATTTTCTTTAGGAAATAAATTCCGTTTTCAACTCCGTCACATAGAAAATGTAATTTTAGGGGGAGTTTCCTTTTCATGTTTTTCCGAAAAATGTCATCTTGACCTCATAAACCGCGCTCTAAACTCAAAAATCTGCTAAGAACACTGTTCCCGCAATTTTTGAGGTCCCAGACCACCCCTCTGCCTCATTTGGCGGGCCCCCGCAGTGTTTTGGTGGGCGCCCATGAGAATCTGCTGTGTTTAGCGGGCCCCCACGGGTTTTGGGCGGGCGCCCGCGAACATTGTTCCTACTCCAGACACTTTTTTTCAACGAGCCATATCTCACTCGTTTTAACTCCAAATTGGTCCATTCTTGAGTCTAAACTGACCATGTCGAAATAAGCTTTCCAATGGTACCAATTAGAGCTTTAGATTCCATTTTTAGCTTAAGTTATTCAAGTTTTAGTGAAGTAGTGTCATGATTTGGTTCGAACCGGGATAGGGTTTCCCTTCTTTCGACTTCAGGACTTGATATCTTTTCCGCCCGGACTCCGAATCAGGTGATTCTTGAGTCAACTTCATTAATTTTTTGTTGTCTTTCCAATGGTACCAGTTTCAATTTCAGAATTTTCTCATAGCTCAAGATATCCTTATTTTAGTGAGAGGGTGTTGGATTGGTTTGAACCGGGATAGGGTTCATCTGAGATTTCTCTTCCTTTGGCCTTGGGATTTCATGTGAAGTTGCCAAATGGTGTTTTAGGATGTTTTAGATCTAATTTGACTTGTTGAAAGTTAAATTCCTTCCTCTTAGGGTAAAATGGTCATTTTACCCTTGACTATTCTCTTGTAGGGTTTTGATGCCCTTCTCATCATTTTGTTTCCGTTGAGTTTTGAAACTCTTTGAGAGTCCATTCTTGTGCCCTAGGAATGACGTACATCTCTAATGACTTGTCCTTGTCTTGCTTCCGCACTTTATTCATTTGAATTCCGCGGCTTCATAGGGAGTCATCGTGGCACCTAGGGATGGCGTACATCTTTTGAGGCCCTTTTGCTTCTTTTGCTTCCGTATCTTAGATCCAGTTCATGTCATCACAGGACACACTGGGTTGAAAAATCCAGGGTCATTACAAATACCAGGTCTTTGTGAAAAACCTTAAGCTACAAGTCGAGCTTTGTATCTCACGATTTCATTTTTCTCATTACACTTTCGTACAAACACCCATTTGTATACATTGAAAGCCTTACTATGGCTTATAAGGGAGCTAAAAAACTGAGCCTATATAAGGCAATGTGCATGAACTGCTTTGATAGATACTAGACTTGAAAAAAAGCTTTTCACTCTTTCTCTCTCTTCCGTTCTCTTTCTCTATCTGAAAGTTTTTTTTCATCTCTCAAATAAATATTTCACTATATATATATCTATACACATATATTTATTACAATTTGTGTGTTTTTTTGTCATGATTCTATTGTAAAAATAGAGAAAATAGCATTATACTAAAGTGTATTAAGTTTTTAATTGGGGTAAGTGCACTTAACACTCCTGTAACATGTTTATAGTACAGGACAAATTGACCAAACACCTCCAATTTTTAAGATTGTGCAAATAAGTACCTATAACACATTAAATAGATTGACCAAATTATTCGTTTTATTCACAATTTTCATATTATTTTTAAAAAATTATATTTATAAAATGACCAAATAATACATAAGCTAATGGAGAGCTCAAAGAGAGAACTCCAGTTATCCTTAATTTCCGGCGACCATGCTTCGGGCAAGATATCTATTTCGTCACCACCATTGAATTCGACGACCAGCAAGGTGGCCAAACAGACCCACGACAAGCTTTCGGTGTATGTGACTGAACCGTGAGCACAGAGCACCACATCCATGCAAGTAAGTCCTGCGGACGAACTGAAAAGCTCCAGTACCCACCCGTGAGCTTCACGGCGGCGAGAGCAGAGGTTAAACTCATCGACCCAGAAGCTTCAGCCGAGACCGAAATCTAGAAGCGACAGAGACCCATAACCGGCTCATCAAGACCTAGGCGGTTTTGAGCATGAGGGAAGTTGCTGGCTTGCTTTAGGGTTAGTGTAACGAGGATCATTTGTTACATTTTCGATCTGAATAAAAAATAATTAAATAAAAATAAGTGGGTATGTAACATTGCTCAATAATTTGAACGTTTAAAAAATGGATAAATGCCTACCCTTTTTCTACAATTCCATTTTGATTATTAAAATTTTGATTTATCCAAAAAAAAAACACACACTCTAATTTTCTCTCTCTAAAACACACTCTGTAAATAAATAAAAAACATACACACTCTAGTTTTCTCTCTCTAAAACACACTCTGTATCATACAGATTTTAACTACTAGTTTGGTAGTGTTTCTTTTTAATACGCAACTAGACTATACATTATGTATGTATATTTGATTAATTAATCTGTAATTTATTATGATTGGGTTGAGCTGATTAACTTTAAAGTGTTAATATGTGAACTGTTCTTATCTAATTTTTTCTTTTTCTTTTTGCAAGATCTGTTCTTATTGGAAATGGTGGGTGGGTTGTAGTGCATACAAATCTGGTGAGAAGCCAATTGAGAATTCATCCGTTTTCGAGAGGACAAATTAGTTTGTGTTTTTGCATTGAATTTAGCTGTTTCTTTTTCCCCTTCTTGTGGGGGTAGAAGTCGGCGTGGACCATGAATGTGACCGAAGTGGTGACGGATTGGTAGTTGATTGCCGTTCACCTGGTCCGTGATTGACTCGGTGACTCCGCTGAACTGATGTCATGGATTTCGTAATAATCCACTACTTTAGTAGTTCTTATCCAAGTTTTCTACTAGTTGTCTACATTCTCATATTATATACCTTAGAAGAGGTTGACCTTCTGGAAAGTAACAACAGTCAACACGTGGTCTCAACTTCATGCGACCCACGTGTCACTTCATTCTAATTCAGCGAATTCCATTAGAAACACGCAGCGCTTTATAGTTGCTCGTCCCATAAACTTCCACCTGTCCGCACATCCAAGAAACCAGCACTGCGCCTTGTGTACTTCGATATGCCAACGTGGCAGTCAAAAGCAAGTCCACGTGGTCTTTTCAGGTCGGTCAAAGCACTTTCTCCTTATAAATACCCCCACACCACACACTGCTTATGTACCAGCAAATCGTCTAAACCAACTGTTATAACATATGCGAAAATGGTGAGAATTTCAGGTAGGGAAGAGAGAAGAGACGGCGTCAGTAACGTCCGTTACAAGGGAGTGAGGATGAGGAAGTGGGGGAAATGGGTGGCTGAAGTTCGACAGCCCAACAGCCGACGGAGAATCTGGTTGGGATCGTACCAGACGCCGGAAGAGGCGGCAAGGGCCTACGATGCCGCCGTGTTTTGCTTGCGTGGCCAATCAGCGGCCCTCAACTTTCCGGAATGTCCTCCGGATATTCCTTCGGCAGCAGAGCTGTCGCCGTCGCAGATTCAGGCGGTTGCCTCTAGACATGCTCGGAGAATTCCAATGGCAGAGGATTCAAATACCATTATGAAGGAGTCTAATCCGGCGGTGATGGAGTCTGATATATTTGGTGAAACTTCGGAATCTTATGGTGGTTCAGTATTTGGTGAGTTCTCGGCATCGGAGTTTTATTATGATCCAAGAATTGGAGGGGAAGGAGGTAATGGTAATTTTCATGATGAAGCACTTTACGGGATGACACGTGTGTGGACATCTTAATGTTGTAGTCACAGTCTTGTACTTGCTGGTTTTACTAAAGTTCCCAACAATTAAGGCTTTTCTTCTTCTTCTATGGTCATGTTGAAGTGACAAATTAAAATGACATTAAGAATTTGATTAATTTAACAGTTTATTTATTTATTTTTGTGTGTTGCAGTCACTAGTCAGAGTCTTGTATAGCTGATTTGCTAAAATTCTCAACAATTAAGGGTTTTCTTTTTCTCTCTCTGTTGTATGGAAAGCGTTTTGTAGAAGTGACAAATTAAAAAGAGAATTTGATTACTGCTGTGGTTTTATTTCTTTTTTGGTATGTGTGTGGGTGGTTAATATGAGCAAATGCATAGGACGGTTTGTTTTCCTATTTAGAAAATAGTTTTTGTTTTTAAAAATTAAAAATTTTAAAACATCATGCAGAGAGTGCTATATTCTCTTCCCGCACTGAGTGACAAACAACACATTCATCATCATTTTGTCTATGGAATGATGAAGAGATTCTATTTAATAATTCTATTTGATATCACATAAACAAAAGGATGTTTCTACTTGCTTACCAAATGGACCATTATTCTTTGTAGTCTGAAAACAAGATCCCCATGGATTATTGAATTCTGAATATATAAAAGTGGTGCAATAGTAAAAATAATAAATGGAGAGATGTGTGCTAAGAAAACTACGATAATTATTTATTAGGAAAAAAATAAAATAGAGTAGCAAAAGACTAATTAAAATTAGAAATTAAAAAATTAACCACCCACTAGAGTAACATTCTAGTTACAAAATGTACCATTTACCAAAATTAACTATAAAAAAAAAAGGAAAAAGATTCCCTAGCAAACTGCCTCCATCACAAGCCTCTTGGCAACATCAATTATATCAATAGCTGTGTGAAATATAGGGGGTTTTAATGATCCCTTAAAACAAGCAGAAGTAAAGAAACTTCTTAGTAAACAAGGGGTGGACATAGCTGCCATCATAGAGACTAAAGTTCAGTCAGTCAACATTGATGATGTGCACAAGGCTATTGCAAAGAACTGGAGCTTGGCACACAACAATCAGTACTCTCACCTTGGTAGAATTTGGGTCTCGTGGAATTCTAATTCAATCCAACTTTAGGTTTTACAAAGCTCAAGTCAAACCATTCACTGTTTCATTTCGATCCTGAGCTGCAGAACCACATTCTATGCATCCTTTATTTATGGGGCTAATGATGTTGCAAATAGATTGTCTTTTTGGAATGATATTGGAAATCACTCCTCTAAACTTTCATCTTCACCATAGATTCTTGGAGGGAATTTTAATGTCATCAAGTCAGCTACAGAGTGTCTTGGCGGATCCAAGAAGACCACAAGGGCAATGTTTGAATTCAGAGATTGTCTTCATAATGCAAATCTTGAGGACCTAAACTTCTCAGGTTTCTTTCACTCTTGGACTAATAAGAGCTCTGGGGTGGCCAATATATCCAAGAAATTGGATAGGGTGCTGATTAATGACTCTTAGAATCAAACTGTCCCTTTATCCCACTGCAATTTCCTTCCACCTGGCATCTCAGACCACTGTCGAATGATTATCAAGCTAGGAAACACTAAACCAATGAGGGAAATTCCACTCAGATTTTTCAATTACTGGGCTAGAAATGATGAGTTTCTACCATTAGTTCAATCTATTTGGAGCAAGCATGTTGAAGGCTTTACCATGTTTCAAATAATCACTAAGCTCAAAAGCCTCAAGCAACCTCTCAAGAAGGCTTTTTCCAAAAAAATTAAAGCTTTTAAGGAGGATGTTCAAGCTGCAAAGGACCTTCTTACTACTTGTCAGCTTGCACTTGACTCCAAACCTGATGACAATGACCTCAGAGTCCAAGAGAAGCAACGGATTTCCAATTACACCAAGTTGTGTGCTGCTGAGGAGCAATCCTATAGACAAAAATCAAGAATTCAGTGGCTTAAAGGTGGATTCTAACTCATTCTTTTTTCTACAAGTCAATTGCTGCAAGAAACAATAGAAACGAAATCTCATCTCTTCTATTCTCCAACGGTTCAATGCTGGACACTGAGATTACCATCAAATCTGAAACCATCAATCATTACACAATTGTTTTGGGATCAAATCCACATCCTTATCCAGGTATTGACCACCTCTCTCCTTTTTTACAACCTGTTTTACCATCATATTTTCATCCATCTCTATTCTCTATACCCTCGGATGATGAGATTAAACAATGCATGTTCTCACTGAATAGTGATAAGGCCCAAGGGCCTGATGGTTTCAATGCTTTCTTCTATAAGAAAGCTTGGCCAATCATTGGACAAGATGTCACTAGGGCCATTAAGCAATTTTTCATCAATGGAGAACTTCTCAAGGAAGTTAATACTTCATACATTGCATTGGCCCCAAAAATCTCCAACCCAACAAACCTCAGTGATTTTAGGCCCATTTCATATTGCTTCACACTCTACAAATGTATCTCTACCCTTCTTGCAAACAAGCTCAAAACCTACTCTCCCTCACATTATTGGGTCTACACAGTCAGCTTTCATACACGGCAGAAGCATAGATGACTCTATCCTACTTACACAAGAACTTCTCAATGGCTATCATAAGTTTGTTTTCTCACTAAGATATGCCATCAAATTAGATATCAAAAAAGCCTTTGACACAGTTTGTTGGGACTACCCTTTGATTATCTAAAACTTTTAGGTTTTTCTCATGTTTTCTTGGGTTGGATTCAAACTTGTGTATCCACTGCATTCTTCAGCATCTTAATTAATGGTGAACTTTGTGGTCATCTTAGAAGCATCAAGGGCTTAAGGCAGGGTGATCCACTCTCACCCTTCCTTTTCACAATTATAATGCAAGGCTTCTCCTCAATTGTTGGCAAGTTCATTACTGAAATGTCCTTCAAGCATCATTGGAGATACAAAGAGTTAGGGTTGTCTTACTTAATTTTTGCAGATGATCTAATGTTGTTCTCACATGCTAGTTTACCATCAGTTCAAACACTTAAATCTGCAATAGACATGTTTTACTCTCTCTCAGATCTTCAAGTCAATCAAAGCAAGAGTCAAGTGTTTCTATCTGGGGTAAGCTCACAACTGGAATCTGATATCCTTGGATTATTGGGGATTGAGAAAGGTCTACTTCCTGTTAGGTACCTTGGTGTACCATTAATAACCAAAATGTTGAGAGCTGATGATTGTAAAACCCTTGTAGATAGGATTACTTCAAGAATTGCTCATTGGACAAACAAGCTTATTTTGCTGGAAGACTCTAGTTCATTAGAGTAATTCTCTTCTCAATTCTCTATGGGCTTGAAAGCATATTTGGTGCCTTTTTATGGTCTGGTCTTAATCTAAAAGGGATTGGTGCCAAAGTAGCTTGGGATAAGTGTTGTATTCCTAAAAAAACTGGGGGTCTTAGACTTCCAAACTTGCAAATCCGGAATAAAAGTTCAGTCATATGCATAAAGCATTTTTGGCACATTTTAAGCTCAAATGATATGTTGTGGGTCAAATGGATCTAAACATACCTTCTTAAAGGCAGAAGTATATGGGAGATCAAAGTGCCTGGACAGTATTCTTGGACTTTGAGGAGATTGCTTGGTCTTAGGGACTCAGTCAGGCCTCTTGTCAAGTTAAAAATTGGTGATGGAGCTTCATCCAATTTCTGGTTTGACATATGGTGTTAACATAGCCCTTTGCACCAACACATTCTGCCCCAACAGATTACTTCAGCTGGATTTGACAGTATGACCAAAGTGAACACTTTCATCATCAACAATTCATGGTCCTTTCCATAATCCATTATAAACCTATTGCCACAACTACAAGACACTTCCTTACTGCCTAATCCTAAACCTCACTGCATTGACAAACACATTTGGATTCCATCCAAGTCTAGCCAATTCTCAATTGCAAAAACCATGGATCACTTCAACCAGTAATACCCTACTCTTACCTTGGACTCATTTTTTCTGGTTCAAGCAATCCGTTCCTAAGCACTCATTTACCCTATGGGTTGCAATTCAGCGGAAATTACCTACTCTGAATAGAAGGTGTACAACACATATTAACTCCACAATGTATGTCCTTTGTAATGCAGAACCTGAATCTCATGATCACTTGTTTTTTAGTTGTTTATTTGTAAAGCCTCTATGAAACTTTCTACAGGTATGTTGTGGGTTATATATTCAGCCCACTTCTTGGACTCAGCTCATTGCTTAGGCATCATTTCATTGGAAGGGAGATTCAGATCACCACAGCAAAACAGTTTCAAAATTGGCTTTGGCTTCCCTAGTTTATAACATCTGGATTGAGAGGAATATGAGAATCTTCAAGAAGAAATCTCGTAGTGCTAACTCTTTACTTCACCTCATTCCCAGAAGATGACTTACATTTTGCACTGTTGGGGTCACAATCCAAGAGCTTACTACAGTATCGAAGCTTGATCACATACTTCTGTTGTTGAATATGTTGGGCTATTATGCTCCTTATTGTATAATGTGTTTGCCTCGGGCCTCTTATCTTAGGCTGGTTGTTCATTTGTAGCAATGGGTTTGTGTGATACCCCCGGATTTCCGAATGCGGGTTGGCCAGGCCTACGCCCGAATACCCGAGGATATCAAAAACAATATCGACAATAAACGAACACAAAGTACAAAAGAATAAATAGGAATAAATAATTTGCTGAAAGAAAACTAAAAGAAAAATCTAATAATAAAACCTCTTAATAAATTTTCATTAATAATAAAATCATTTTGATACAATAAATCCTCCATTAATACAACTTGGGAATCCATACTGTGTGGACCCCTAAAAACTAATCTGAACAAGTGATAGCAATAACTGTCTGCAACTGAAGAACGAAGTATAAAAGAATCTTCTATGTAGAATCGAAAGAATGAAGTAGACTGATTCCCGCTCAGCACGAACAACCTCTACTCTTGACGAACACCTAAAAAATAATGGTGGGTCTGGCCCACAAACAAGTTCTACTTTACTACAGTCCAAGCAGAGATCAGATACACGTATACATCCTAGTCAATCCAACAGTAACTAGTAGTCTGTATATATATACATATATATATATATATATACATATACGCACACACTAAAAGAACCTCACTAGACTATAGGGTTATCTCAACCTGAATAGTAGGTAACATGCAAAACGCACATATAGTGGGCATGAGTACCTAGACCTACCAGGGTACACAATTACACTATATCTAGCTACACATCCCTGGTGATATACGCATCCTAACCACTGATCCTGAGACTCAAGCTCATATTATGGCACCATACTTATATATATATAATCTAGTAACCATCCTATCTAGTATAAATTAATCTTCCATAAGTCATTCAACTTGTTCAGCTGACCTGCCTTGAATATATGTAGGACTTAACATTTTAGTTAATCCATTCCCTTATATAATAAATTAATCCTCCATAAGTCATTCAACTTGTTCAGCTGACCTGACTTGAATATAAGTAGGACTTAAAATTTTAGTTAATCCATTCGCTTATACAATAAATTAATCCTCCATAAGTCATTTAACTTGTTCAGCTGACCTGACTTGAATATAAGTAGAACTTAACATTTTAGTTAATTCATTCCCTTATATAAAATAGTAGGACTTAACTGATAAGTTAATTCGTCCCTAGAATGCCACCGTTCCATACCGGTGCATTAAACCACACAATCCAACAATTGATGTAACGATTAAGGAAATATATCAAACAATCCAGAAATAATTATGATAATATGATATCAAGTTATCACAAAATAGAAATGACTTATTATTTATTTAAGCTTCCGATATCATATGACCTACACAAACTGAATCTTATATATGATGGTATTTTATTATACCGTCAAATAAGCAGTCTCCATATTCAATTCATCCTACACATGTAATCTCAATTGTTAAAACACTTTAAAAGATTAAATCCATTCATTTATTTAAAACATTCAAATAGCAAGCATCATTATGATTGAGTCTATTTAAATTTATTTAAACCCAAACCTAGTCCCTATTTAATGTTCAGGAATCCTAGGCACGTTTCTACGTTCCATCATTCCACAGATATGAAAAATATAAAATCACACCAGAAATAAAATCAAAATCATACATTTATCAATTCATAACACAAGAACAGATATGAACCAATTTCATAAAACCTATGTTCTAATCCAATTAAACATGCATAATTATTTGATTTTGTGTGTTTAATAAATCCAAGAATTTCCTAGGCATGTACAGAAACATAAAGCAAAGGGAAAGAGATAGAATAAGAACTTACCTTAAACTTTCGGATCGAAAGTTAAACTTCTTCTTCCTTGATCTTCTCTCTATAGGGTTTTTCTCCTCCTTCCTTCTTTTTCCTTCTTCCTTCTTTAACTCTCTCTCTCTAGAATATATCAAGTGAATATTTCTAGCCCCTTTTTTACAACCTATAGCTATATATTTATAGGCTAAATAAAATAACTCTAACCCTTTTCCCAATCCAAGTCAACTTAAAAATATATATATATTAAAATATTAAAAAGGTAAGTAAAATATGTTACGTATATAATTTATGTATATCTTTATTAAATAAATAAATTATACACATCCCATTATTTATTAATGGATTATCCAATAATACCTAAGTTACCATAATATTATAAAATAACTTAAAACATAACACGTATCAAATCTATATATATTTTTATTATTTAAATATAAAATATATACATCAAATTAAATATTACTATCCAAGTTACCATAAAAGTAATTAATAAATTATCCATCATTTACTGTAATATCCCTAATTTTAAAAGGATAGTTCTGGTATTTAATTTATTGTTTAAATTGCATTTTTAATTGTTGAAGTGCATATGTGTTAATTTAATTGATTTAATGGTAGTTAGGTATTTAATTGTTTTAATTGAATTGCTTTAATTGATATATAATTGTTTCATTTAATTTTAATTGTTTTAATTTAATTATTTTAAATTTACTTAAACGTGACTGTATTGCACACATATAGTTTTGCATTAGGTTTAAAATTTATATGGTAGCCGACGTTGATTTTAACACAGGATGGTATATGGGCCGAGTTGGGCTTTGTCTTTAATCTTACAAGGATTAGGGTTTTAGGGATTAAAGCTTATGAATACACCATAATAATATAAGTCTAGGGTTACAATCAGAGCACTTAGTTCACAGACGTAACCTAGGTTCTGTAAATAAACAAACAGAGGGTTGAGAACAGAATATTGTAAGGTCTGCCAAAGGGAGGATTTTGGAGGACAACGGTGCAAGGCTAAAGGCAAGTTCTAACATCATCTCTTTCCCTTTTACTCGTGTTCTTTACATGCCTAGGTGGTTCCAGGAAATCATTAAACGGAATTAATTGACTATGCATGTTTAGAACTTATTACATTAGTATGTGTTGAAACTTGTTGTAAACTGTTTGTCTTGTGTCCAACTGTGTAATTGTTCTTTTAAATTAATGTTAATCAATGCATGAAGGAGGTAGATGGGTTTTCTCTGGCTAGGTCTAAACACAAGTAAAATTGTTAGAAGTTGTAACAAAGAGGGACGGATGTTGTGCAGTCAAACGGAGACGAAATAAGCAGACAGAGGAGATGGGGAAGAGGAGCCGGCTCTACATGGTTAGGAGCCGGCTCTACCATGGTTTGGAACCGGCTCTACCATGGTTTGAGGCTTCTCCACCTTGTGGGAGCCTGCTCTCCTTGTGTGTTTTCCCAGTTTTGAGTTTCTGCGACTTCTGGACTGATTTTTGACTATGTTTAGGAGTTGTGAATGGGAATTGTGGTTGATGTCTGAGATTAATTTAGGTCTACAGAGGGCTTGTTAATGCATATTCAACAAATTAATATTATTGTTTAGGACAGTATAAAATTTCTAAGATAACTAGTGGACTGTCTTGGAGATTTAGGATTTAAACTACACAACTTTAGGTGTAGCAGTTTATTTGGGAATGGAGTTAGGTTCTGTTCATATTTCTGTGGTGGACTATAAACATGTGGGACTATAGAATGAATTACATGCCTATAATGGATGAAAGATGTATACTTACATTAACTGTTTTATTCACTCCTGAACAACTGTGTAGTATTATAGGATAAGTATGTAAAGTTGTAAAACAAATCTATCATGCTTACTTGGATTTAATTAAAGGTTATATATGTAGTCTGTATTATCCATCATGGAACTGTGTAGAGGAGTGTTGAATAGGCTTGTTAAATAACAAAGTTTTAACATGTTTAATGTGAA